AATTAATTAGAAGCTAACTTATATTTTAGTTAATACAGTTAACCTCTATAAGGGCGCAGCTAATATAGTAGATAATTAAGGATATCTAACTCTAATTAGTATTACGCGGAGTCTATAGAAAAAGGGTAGAGGGGATCTTAAGCACTTAAGCGCTTTATATAGTATACTATACTTACTTTAGTAGTAGTAGTATTAGTAATATAGAAGGAGAGTCTAAAAATAAGTAGGAGGAGAGATCTTATAGTTGCTTATTATTAACTATTTACTCTATTATTCGCAGATTTATAATACTATAGAGTAAATAGCTATTTACTCTATTATTTGCAGATTTATAATACTATAAGAGTAAATAGCATAACTAAATAGAGGTAATAGCAAGAATAAGGACTAGAGGGCTTTACTAAGTAGACAGACTATATCTAAAATCTAGTAGAGCCTAGGCAGTTTATAAGAGGAATAGTAGTATAATATCTATAGATTTAGATTATTTACTACTATAGTTTCTATTATATTATTTAGTTTCTAATAGATTATTTACTGTCTATAAACTAGTAGAGGGAGGGGGGTAATATAAGAGGCAAGCCCTAGAAGTAAAGCATAGGCTATGCCTATACTTAGCTTACTAAGCCTTAACTAGAGAGCGCTTACTTTTCTTTAGATCTAGATAAAGATTCTTCTCTCTCTTTTATTAAACTTATTAAATACCATATTGAGCCTTTATATATACGTGACTCACTTGTGACACTAGTTCATTTATAAAAGTCGGATTTTAGCTTATAGATCGGAAATAATAATATAAAAATCGAAATTGGAATTCTAGAAAGCGTTTATATTATAGACTAAAGTAGTAAAAAGGATTTATATATTATATCGTATTAATAAAAATAGAAGTAATTTATATCTTAGAATAAAACTATAAATAAGACCTAGGAATAAGACCTAGAAATAAGATTATAATTAGTAGCACTAAAAGGACTTTATATAATATTATAATTACACTTAGATAGGCTAGAACTAGATGTGCGAATATAACTTAGAATATAAAGTAGAGAGCTAAGTACAGTGGAGGTTGCTAGAGTTTGATGTGGAAGCTGCTTAGTCAGCCCTATCACATGACTAGTCACGTGGGACCGTGACAATATAATATAGCTAGCTAATAGTAAGAGATATAATTACTAGTAGAAGAGAGTAGTTTAGAAAGAAGTTAAGATATAAGGAGAGAGCATATAGGTAGCATTTAACCTTAAGGTAACTTTAAGAGAGGATGCGTAGTGCACGTGAGTAATGTTTTATTCGCCTCCTGATTGGCTCGCTTCGCTTTGTTGCACGTCGGACCCCCCCGCCCGCCAGCTTATGCATGGCGAAAATCTTTATTAGCTATAGACTAAAGGCTTCCTACTATCCCTGCTCTGGTTTTGCAAAGAATGCGCGCAGCCGATATATGAGCTCTTTAATTATCTCACCCTCTTCTGCGCTGCATGAACTTCCCTCTTATGGCGCGGTAACTTGTCCTTGCGAGAGAATGTTTGATAACACTCGTCGCACATGACACTTTGAGGAGGATACCCGCTCTCTTCGGCCCAGACCTTATGGTTGCTCCAAACATGTCGATCCTTTTGGCTTTGGCTCTTTGCCTCAGCCCAGCCGCAGTCTTCTTTGGGACATTGGCGGTGGGCGGAGGCGTGACTTCTGAGGGACGTTAAACTGAATGCCCTTCAGATATTGAGATATGCGAACTTACTTCGTGTCGTCGGTATTACATCCACGATACTGACAATCTTTCCATGTACAAAGGGAGCGAGCCCTGGAAGTTGTCTTGCGTGGAGTAGATGGCATGGAGTCCAAAGACCCCTCGCTTGCCTCTCCTCTGGGCTGATCGCCTTCATAGAGATGCGACGAGACTTGTCCCGCCACGCCAACGTCAAATGCCCCTGTGTGGGGTGGAGACAGCATGCCATCATCTCAGAAATGATGGATGGGCGCGGCGTCCTTCGAATAGTTCTCCAAATCTTGATGCTGGGTTAGCAGCAGTGCCGGATCGATGGTAGCGTCAACATCCCACACAGGAGCTGGCGCGGATGGTGATACTTCAGATTGAAGCACTGCCGAGTCCGTGTTGGAGATAAACCATGCCATGGTGTCGTCGTAGTCTGCAGAAGCTGAGTAGCTCTCTTCGACATGAGAAACAGCTGGGCTATGTGAGAAAGCCATGATGTAAATTAAAGCTGTAGCGGGCCTCCGGGCGAAAGAACTGTATTGCTGTACAAGGAAGGACAATTTTCCACAAAAGTGCTGTAGCTTGAAATATCAGGACAATACGGGGCTGCCGGGCGTAATTTTGGTCTTGTTGATCATTGGATGGAATTGTGGTAGGCCTAGATTGGCAACATGACTACATGGGATGCTGCATCTCTCATTACGTGGTCCAATAAGATGTGTATCCCCCCCCCCCATGACATGTGTATTGCCCCAACGAGATGTGTACTGCCTCCCGTGACATCATTAGGCAATATCTAAGGCTGACTCCATGGTGCTACGTAGAGCTGAGAGCCTTCAGTTTTATTGTGCCTGTTCTCAAAGCCCCTCCATCATATCACCCTAGACGCACTATGGTAATGGTCTCATCCCAGGATTTCCAGATGGTTACCGACAAAGCAGCATCGACTCGAGAACGTGGCGAGGCTCGCAAACAATTGTTGATCAATTCGGCTTTACTGAGCCTGATCGAACCTGTTCGTGGAGAACCAACAGAATGCCTCGAGTGTCACCCTGATGCCGATGTTTTGAAAAGTAGCCAGCTAAACGAGAAATTTCTCGACTCATTCGCGCTTATCTGCTCAACTTCAAGCTCCGGCAAAGAGACCGCTTCGGCCGTCTGCATGGAGCAGAAAAGGCCGTCTGGAACCATTTTACGTATTGCTCGCAATCGTGGTCTATCGCAGCAAGACCGTATTGGACTTGAAAGGGTGCTACAAATTCTTATTGCTGCTGCAAATGGAGGTATGTAATCATTTATGGCGACTGCCACGCAGGGCTACTCACACTTCGCCTAATGCAGAGAAGCCATCAAGGCAAGCGGAGACCGAAATTCTCGAAGAGGTGGTTCTTTTAGACGAAAGCCGCATATTGTCGCTGGTAGAAAAGCTTGAGAAAGGTGGAATACGACGTGTCTTTCAACTGGCAATGTCCAAGATATCCAGTCGCGATTCCAACCAAGAAATACTTAGGGAACCAGGTTTTGGGCAATGGATGAAGACATGCCCTTTCATAGCTACACCTATAAGCTCCTCTGGGACTTCCCAGTTGAGCTCTCTGGTGGAATGGGCATCGCAGGCTCGATGGGTATATCAAAAGCATTTGCAGATCTTGCTCGCCTGCGGCTCAACGCCGAATCCGCCCTGTATGGAAACTCTTTACAAACTTGCTCGTTATTGGGGAGCCATTAAGTCCATGGTCAAACTTGCCATGAAACAGCCTGAGCTCTTTGCAGGTATTCACATTCGGGATGTTGATGCCCCCGCGTCGGAAAAATTCGCACTTCATCAGGAGAAAACACCACTCCGGAAAGCTCTCAAGCGACTACTCAAGAACGATTGCGAGATGACGTTGGATAAGTTGGCCCAGCGCTGGGAATCAGATGATGTAGAGGTCAATTTGCGCAGAGCATGTCGCTTAACGCTTACACTCCATGCCGAAATGCAGCTTCTCGAATTCTATGACCGCAATCCAGCTTTGGTGCCCCAGCTACGTTTGATGGGTACGAGTAAAAAGGCCTGCTATCTTTGTCACGAGTTTCTACTTCGACATCCACTCCACATCCGGGTATCAGCTTCTCATCAAAAGGTTTACCCTACATGGATGCCGCCATCCTCCCGTGATATTCCTGGAGTGGTCAAGAGCAAGGTTTTTTGGAAATTCAGTAAACATATTGAACAGGTGACTGTGGAAGCGCTGAGGACAGGTCTAGCGGCTTCACGGCGGCGTATGAGCAAGGATTCAACTGCAGGTCCGTCTTTAACAGCAACAGCGACTGTACCTACCGAGGTTCTGGGTATAGCACCTGGTACAGCGATATATACCGTTTAAGGGCGATAGCATAACGGGCGGAGGAGCTGAGACAACAATGGCGGGGCTATGAGAAGGGTAAACTGTTCACAAAAGAGAGCCATGAAATGCCAGTATACTCATAGATCAAGTTGGCACGCCACGAAAGTAATCCAAATGAATCGACTTTCCAGTGTCTACCAAACACGTCCCATATACTACTCTAGGCAGCAGGACTCAGCTGTGAGACTTAGTTGCGAATCGCAACTTCAGGCTCAGCACGTCACAATGATACTGTACATGGCCGTTTGGTGCATAATCTGTCGAAAGGGGGCTGACCTTTATAAAGACTTGCTATGGCGATTTCTTTCACAGCACATATGACATTATACTTGATGTATTCAAGCTTTATTACGAGAATAACTTACATTTCAATTTTGAAAGAAATTAATCAGACATAAAAGCATAGATAACTATTGAAGTTGGTAGGTCTAGGTTGCAGTAGGTTAGGCGGAGGTGGACGGAATTAGCGAACGTTAACGCTATACGTTCAATATGTCACATGCAGACTTTGACCGGGCGAACACAGCCTGCCTAACTGCTAGCCACTCGGCCGGACTAGAACCAATTAACATAGAAAAGCGCCGCAATTGCTTGCTACCAACAGCTGTGGGGGCCATCCACGATACTACTCGGCCTCATCAAGATTTGAGATCGCACCGCAACTTCTTGCTGCCAACAGCTGCGGGGGGCCATCCACATACTACTCGGCCTCATCAAGATTTGAGATCGCACCGCAACTTCTTGCTGCCAACAGCTGCGGGGGGCCATCCACATACTACTCGGCCTCATCAAGATTTGAGACCGCGCCGGGTCTGAAATGAAGTATAAAGAGGGAGTTTTGGACAATCATCCTTCATATAACCTTCATTGTACCATCACTCACACCATCAAACATGACGGCCGCAGACATCCCAATGGGAGACCATCGTAACCTCTTAGATATCATTGACAGCCTCCGTGCGCAAGGACTCGGCCGGTATGTGGACCTTCCCGAGATTATAGTCTGTGGTGATCAGTCTGCGGGCAAGAGCTCCGTCCTTGAAGCTATTTCCGGTAGGCGATTCCCTACAAAAGACGGGCTTTGCACTCGTTTCGTGACAGAGTTGGTCCTGCGCCGAGGCCAGAACACAAGCACAAAGGTATTCATCATACCCGGCGAAGCTCGATACGACAAAGAAAAAGAGGATCTCGAGCATTGGAAACCCCGGTCCAGTGTAGATAATGACGGTCTCGAAGCAGTGACAGAGGAGGCAATGGAAGCCATGGGGATTTCGGATGCTCGAAAGTTCTACGACGATATCCTTCGCATCGAGCTCACCGGCCCCAACCAACCGCATCTAACCATGGTAGACCTCCCTGGTCTCTTCAGGACTGGAAACAAGGAGCAATCTGACACCGATGTCGACACAGTACGCAGCATGGTTGAAAAATATATGGCTCGGCCTAGGAGCATTATTCTAGCCGTAGTGTCGGCTAAGAACGAGTATGTCCTCCAGGAAGTGACATCAATGGCCAAACACGCCGACCCAGAGGGACTACGTACTATGGGGCTTATCACAAAGCCCGATACACTGGATATTGGCTCCGATTCCGAGGCGTACTGGGTGCGCCTCGCGCAGAACACTGAAGTGGAGCTCCGTCTCGGTTGGCATGTTCTGAGGAACCGCAACTTCGAGCAGCGGGGCTCGACTTCGGCCCAACGTGATGCCACCGAGAATGATTTTTTTTCCGGAGGCATCTGGATTAGCGTCAATAGAGAGCACTGTGGTGTGGAAGCTCTGAGGATCAGACTCAGTGCTGTCCTCAAGGACCAGATCCTGTCTCAGCTACCAAGCCTAGTTCAAGATGTAGAGAATGGCATCCACGAATGCACAGAAAAGCTTGAACGACTTGGCCCTGTCCGGGGAACTCCGACGGAGCAGCTAAAGTACCTCCTTCGCCTGAGTGAGGAGTATACATCCCTGACGAGGCAGGCGGTTGATGGCACGTACGGGGACCGCTTCTTCGGCGCTAGAAAGAAGCGTGATGGATATCCTAGGAGGCTCAGGGCCGTGGTGCAAAATCTGCTGCTTGAATTCAGACAGGAAATGTTCTTGAATGGACAGAGCCAGATAATTACCGCGTCGGAGAGTGAAGGTGAGGATGAAAACGAAACCAGCGAGTCGCCCCGTATTCCTAGGTCTCGATACGTTGAGCGGGTCGCCTCTCGCTTGAAGTTTAGCAGGGGACGCGAACTACCGGGCCTTTTCAGCCCGCTTATTGTTGGCGATCTCTTCGAAGAGCAATGCGAACCGTGGCGAAAGATTGCGAAAGCGCTGGTCGAGGATATCGTGGAAGCTGCACATCAGACGACGGAGCTCGTGATCCGACACGTTGCTGCCAATGATATCGTTATTGAGGTGCTTAAGTTTGTCCACGAAATGGTAGAGGAACTCAAGATCGGACTGGACGCTAAGGTTGACGAGTTACTGGTTTCTGCCACGCAGCATCCCATTACATATAATCGTCAGTTGACGGACAATGCTCAGAAGGCCCAACAGGCACGGCACAAGTGCGCCATCAGACAGCTCATTCGCAAGGTATTTGGCTCACAACACTTCGATGACGTGGACAGGAAGATCAATCTCAATCCGGTACATTTCGTGGACCTTCTGGCACAGGGTCTCGAACCCAATATGGAGCTATTCGGAAGCTCCACGGCGGTTGACTATATGGAGGCATATTACAAGGCAAGTTGCACTTGGATTGACAATATCCGTTATACTGACTATAGTCCTACTATTCTAGGTTGCAATGAACAGATTTATCGACGACGTTAGCGTGCTGGCAGTTGAAGACTGCCTCATCGGAAAGGTTGCTGAGCTCTTCCGATCGGACAAGGTCTTGGACATGAGCTCGGATGATATCTCTCGCCTCGCAGGTGAGACTGCAGAGTCTTCTATCGAGAGGCAGCGTCTGGTAGATAAGCGCAAGATGCTCGATGATGGATTACGGGGTCTCAAGGGCTTACAAAAGCAAAAGCAATTCACCCGACCTGCTGACTGGGGTCCGGTGTTATCAGGAGATGTGGAAGAACAGCTGGAAAAGACTACATCCGATTCAGAGAGTGCATCAATCGTCAGCTTCGTTAGATCGCCGTCCCCTGAGATGTATTCTTAGGACAGAATACACCTACCCCATCATGGAAACTTTCCAATATGAAGTTCTATCGCTCTTCGTGACTTGTAATAATTGTATGCAGTGCTTAACTATTCCGTCACCATTCAGTCGAAGTCCAAGTTCCATTCTCACCGTCACGCCCAATGCCAATTGACTGGATAGGGCTTCAAGTATGGGAAAGCCACCCTGGTTAGGGTGTGGCGACATTACCGACGCCGGAGAGTGGCTGCGACACCACTCAGTAAATGACATTATACTTATTTGAAGTGGTAGTGATCCTTATGATACCGGCTAGAATGATGCCGTCCAGGATCCAGGATCCTCCTGCTGTATCGAAAACGATTCCGTCTACACGCCGACGATATTTCACGACAAAAGCAAACGAGGAAAGAATCCAACAAGAAAAGGAAGATCGCAAGGCAACGCTCCTGCTCTCTTTGCATTCGTATCTCATTCCATTCTGAATATCCCCGGTGACTTAAAAAAATGTATCCAGTCCCATCTGCTGCAGTTTCGACAAATATGGCATGGTGGTCACGGGGGGTGCCAATATACGCCGTAAGAAACACATTATAGGACATATCCTACCAGCTGTTAGCACTAGATTGCCAATTTGGTATCATTTCGAAGCAAACTTACCGATAGTAGATTCCGGTGTTCCAATGGCTTGTATGGTAAGTGATTGAGAACTGTGATAAACTTGCTGAATTCGTTCTCAGTAAAGCTAAGTTTGGAGACATTGCGCACTTGGACTTTATACCACACGATCTGATTGTACCTCCACGAATAGAAGCATATTGCATCCATCCAGACGCCATTCAAGGGCCTCGATGTTGCGCGCGCTTGTGTGCATGTGAAATACTCTTTCGATCCGGCGCTTATTGAAACTGGCCCTGTAGAGGAGGTGAAAGGAAGAACACGGAAACCTGTTGCCGCTGCCTGGTGCTAAAAGTAGACATAAATCCGAATTCTGGAGGTGTGATGGGTGATCAGATGACTGGTCCAGGTCCTCTTCGCGCCCGGTGCCATAGACAGCATCCACTGTCCAATGGCTTCATGTTCTCTTCTACCACTGAAGACATTCACTGTCTTTAGTGTTTGGTGCCGAATCAATTGTTGGGCAGCTCCCAACTCAAGTAATACCAAGCGAAAGACCACATCCGATGCTCTTGTCCATCTGCACCTTGCAATGTTCGCTGGGAGAGAAAGTCTGATGTGAATCGTCAAGCACTCATTCGAGAAATCCCGACCCGGTGTAGAGATAGCCACGGCAGTGTGCCGCCTTGCCACCAGCTGGGAGGTCCAGATGCTGGACTACATGCAAACCTGACCTCAAGGTAAGAAACACTAGCTTCTGCCACAGCTCTCTTTAAGACTGCTATTAAACACTTCAGGGCGAGCTGTCTCACGTGATTACCGGTGACGTGATATTACTAATAAGCCAGCCTTGCAGGCCAATTAATTAAAGCCTTTCTTTAGTAAATGCTATATTACAATAGCTAAAGCATGAGACCCCTCATTGTATTAAGGTCCGGGGCTTGCATAAGATAATCCTATCTAGATGCGCAAAGAGTCCTTGATCTCGTTCAAGTAATCAATCGGTTCTGACCTGAAATTGTCCGTGATAACAGTGATGTCACCTTCCTCTTTCCAACTCATTGCCTGACGTTTGGATGAGTCGTACTGTGGCCAATTAGGGACATCCTGCAAGCCGGCAGTGTTGGGATCCAAGTTATGGGTAAAGGCAACAAGTACACCCATCAAATGATAAGTATTCCTGCTAACGGCCTCTGGAATTGTGCCGAACCAGTTAAGAAAAACGTCTGCAGCATGGAAAGAACCAAGGATGGGCACATTTGTGAGGCCAGTGTCGGTAAGAAGATTCCCGATGGTACCTTCCCCAAGGACAGATGCTGGAATTTCCGTTTCAATGATATAAGTCCATTTTGGAGCAGTAATCTTGTCGAGAATCTGCCGCCGCTGAGCCTGGAAGCTGTAGTCTCCTACGAGTTCGGAAAGACGTTGGAATTGCGGGCCAATTCCGACTGGAGTTCCGTCGGTGGGGTTCATTAGGTAGAGATCCATGATCTTCTCGAGTTGTGCTTCAGTTGCGTTGGGCCACTTTACTTAGGAGTTAGCAACGCGCTCAATATGGGATGCCGCGGCACTTACCCAATATGTCTTGAAATAGTCGATAACCTCATCTGTGGTGGTGGTATTGAGTGCAGTAACAAGGGAGAAGAGAGTACCTTCACTGCAATGACACCGGGCTATCAGCAGTGTGAAAGACTTAACGCCAGAATACGAAAGTCACTTACTCTTTCATGTCCCCGATGATGACAGGTACATCAGCAATTTTTCCCTTGTCGACCAGAACATCAGGGCTTTCCGTGAGGAGTTTCCCATCCGGTCGAAGCGTCCAGGTGGATGCTAAGCTGCGATATCCAAGGAAGTAATTTATCGTTTGAAGTTGTTCGTAGATCTTCTCGTATGGAGCAGCACGCAGACAGTCGATCTTGGCGGCTCCTTTAGTAGCTCCACACCCAACAAATTCCGCCAGGTTATCGAAGGTATCCTGTTGACGCTCAGGGCCCTGAACCTTGACTGGGCCTCCACTCATGGCGATAGCTCCTCTGACTTGATTTCACAGTCAGCACCGAAAACAAGCCCGGCCAGGCTTGCTGTACAGAGAGTTAGGGATATAAATCTACACTTACAGAGACCTTCGTTGTCACCGCCATTTGCCACGAGATGTCCGCTAACCGACCAGGAACCTGCTGACTCTCCCATGATGGTTACCTTGTCCGGATCGCCACCGAATGCCGCAATTTGCTTGTTGACCCATCTCATGGCATTCCGCTGGTCCTCTAGACCGAGATTGAGCAATCCAGAATCTGCCAATTCCTGTGACGCACTGAAGCCAAAATGATTCAGCCGGTAATTGATGGATGTGACGATGATTGGCTGTCCCATCTCGACAGAGCGCTTCACGATGTTTGCGCCTTGGTAGAGAACACCGGGAAGGGCAGACAGCTCTGAAAATACAGAACTCGAAGCGCCGGACTCAAAGCCACCACCGTGAATCCACATCAAAACTGGCAGTTTTTGGCCCTCAGTCGCGTTCTGGGGACGTTGGATATTGATCGACAGACAATCCTCCGCCTGCTTGAGAACTGGGGATAGACCGAACTCGATCAAACCTCCGAGGGCTCCTATTCCAAGGTCGTTTGGAGCAAACTCCGAGACTAACTCATGCTGTGGGCATGCTGGACCGTAGTCACTGACATCTGAGACGAGGAAGTTTAGCACTATTCAGTATACATCACAACGAAGAAATATGGTGGCCTACTAAGAATTCCCGAAACTGGCTGATCAACAATCACCGAGTGGTCGAATCTTGGGGCCGATGCATATGGAATGCCTAGGTAGTTTGAGGTTCCCGTTATGTCGTCGTCTTTACCCTGAAATTGAGCATAGCTAGTTGTTACAATAGGGGACTTGCCGCCGACGAATAAGGTGGCTCCACTAAGAAGTGAGCTATGAACCTGGTACCATTGCGATGAAGCAATTAGAACGAGGATATAGCAAGACTTGTTGTACATTTTGGATGCCGACTGAGGCTTAGGAGATGGGATGAAGTTGAGAATTCACCTGAAAGATGCAACGGGTAGGAGCAATATATAGGACCTGTTACAAGCTCGTTATGTATCCATGGAGGAGTATGAAATGGAAGGTTTAACTCACGGCACAATATCCGACTTTACTGCCGAGGAAGTTGATCTGCTTTGCTACATCTGGGGCCTCGCATATAGCACTCGATCACGGAGATGTGGAACGGTTGATTGCCTGCCATGGGCTAGTACAGTACGAATGTGCAAATGATATCTGATATCCCACTGACTTGTACCCACAGACAGAGGTCATCGTACAGTTGACGATGTTCCTTAGTAGCCAATATATTTGACCCCTATTGCGTATTTGAACTTGGCGAGCTTGGGTATATTAATTATGAAGATCCTCCGCGCTAAGGCCAGAAGGCACATTTGAAGTAGTCCCTAACAGTATAAGCTTATCTTTGGTCAGATGATCAATCCTCGTGACCGATACTCTAAGAAATCTCTTTTCTCCAAAAGTGACCACATCCAAGGCCTCTAGCACGTTGAGTCTATGCCGCAAATGAACTTGTTTAATGAACGCCGGCTGGGTACTTGGACTTAAATAATCTATACCATCTTTGCGTATCCCGGTTCCTGATGCGTGAAGCCTTGAGCACCTATCGATATACCTCTATGTTGGATCTAGTGTTCAAGGGAGTTACAGCCTCCCGTTTCCAACCTTGGCCGTGGCTGGATCGCTGGACGAGATGGCACGACAAGCATAGGCTCATGATTCAGGGTGGCATCGTACATGAGATCGGTAGATGAGATGAGATGAGGATATTCGCATCCGTTAGCGTGGGTGTGTTTTAGATCGGGATGGTGAAAGGCCTGTTAATCTAGGAAGATCATAGGCTTAGCAACTAGTCCTTTTTTCAGTCAATCTCAATACGCACGATCATTTTGCAAATCCCAAGAACCTTGTAATGATCTCAACGTGGCCGAAGAAGCCGTTACTCTGAATTTTATAGAGAAAGCTGGACTAGGAATAAGTACCTCTAACCAGCAATAGTATCGCTACTTTGTAAGAGCCTCTTTAAATTTCGTTAGTACGGAATTGACAAGATTACTTATTACTAAACTTCTGAATTGAGTAAGAACTGCAAGGCATATCTGCGAAGAACCGATGTGGTTGACCCCGATCTTTGGCGTACCGACTCGGTAGATAATTGTGCACCGATAAGCGGAGATCTCGAGATGCATGGTCAGGGTTAATTTTATGTGCATATATTAAGCGAAGGGCTGAGTGGTATTTCCCCTGTTCACATTTTGGCTGTACTTGTATATGCGGGACTAGATGTATATATGGTAGTGGCGTCAAATGTTAAGCCTCCTTTAGGATTA